GTGGTGATCACAAATGAAAGAAATACCCAGAAAATGCATTTTTTTTTAATTTATAAATTACCGTTATTCATCATTATGTGTTTATTTAAATTATCTTATTTACAGTCATTTTATAAAAAGTTCCTTTCCTATTTATTTCTTTATAAAATGGTAAATAATAAATATTTTATTATAGTTGGTTCATATATTTTTATTATCTTGTAAATATAAAATCATTCTTGTAAATATGCAATCTAATATACAGTGTTTAACTTTTGTCAATTCTCAAGAATGGAGAAAATGCATAAATCCACTTCCATATGTTTGGGTATTATTAAAATTCTAATCATCACTTTTTAAAAATAAACACTGCTGAGGGAGTGAAGTGAATTTACAGTAATAGCAGTGTCAAGGGAATAACTGTCCTTTTGACACACTGTATGTTTAGGGGAACAAAAGTTAAACATTACCAAAATCTCAATTAGGCATTTGAAGAAAGAACAATCAAGTGAACAATAATGGATTAAGAAATTTTACTCCTGAGATTAGAATTTTCATGAAAGATCCACAAATGTTATCAACAACAACTGAGAAAAATTGGAGAAAATAACCATGGCATAGAACAATAAAGTACACAAATACAATGGATCTATTGTGGGATGCCATTGTTGCTTCAAAATTCTACACATGAAGACATTTCAGAAGTAGATATTTAAAAACATTCTTTTTACTTTTCTTTTGCGTTTTTCTTTTTAGTATAGAATATTTTGAAATTTTCATGTAAGAATTATTATTATTTTATTACAAAAAGAAAAAAATTTAAACCAAACAATATAATTTAAATGAAAGCAGTGTCTCTTTCCCCTCAAAGTAAAAATTTAATAAGTGAAGCAGAATGCTTACTTGAAAGAACAAAACCCACTTTCATTAAAAAGTAGGAGAGCTATGTACTTTTGAAATGGCTTTGTGCATAAAAAAACGCACAAATGTGTAGTGTGCATAGTAAAGGTGTTAAAAAATAAATAAAAATAGTAAAAGGTGTTAAAAAATAAACAAATTAAAAAAAATCAAACTGATTCCTTGTGAATTGTCAAAAAATAAGAATCAGCATTATTTTGAGGTGTGTTCATCACTGCTTACTTGTAATAATAACAATCCATTTCTAAAACGTGTCATTAATGTAATAAAATTGAAAAAAAATGGATCCTTTAATGTATGATTAAAAGATGTTTGTTTCTTTTTTTAAATAAGTGTTTACTTTTTCCTGTCAAAATACAGCATTTCCTGTGGTACAGCTTAAGAGATTAAGACATTTTTCTTATATAAGGTCACTTGGAATTTTTCTAAAATCATCAGCCTCTGTTGCTAAATTCAACTTTATGAAATGTAAAAAAAAGATTCACCATTTTTATATAGTTACAATGCACTTAAACAAATATTAAAAAATAAAAAAAGATTAGTATAACTGAACAATATGTAAGTTACTCAGAGCCTCATTTAGTTACATATAACATTCATGATAGTTTCTGCTTTGTCTTGTTTAAGCTGGAAAGGGTTGGAAAACTGTGAAATAGAATGAACGGATAACAGTTTAAATACATCAGTAAGAGTTATCTCCATTTTTGTCAAGTTATAACAAGTTAAAATAACGAAATACAATGGAGTTGATACGGAAATACGCTTTATATGAAAAGCAAATCTTCAGATGAGAGAAAAAACTAATTTTTAACAGTAATATAGACATCATTTAGCAGTGTACTTAATGAAAGTAAGTTAACTGTGCTAAGCCTTATTAATTTCATGTTGCTAATAATATTATTTAAAAGAAAAAAATTTATATACTCTACTATTTAGACTTAATTCATTTTCTCTAAAAACCAAAAGAAATATGTAATTCATATCACAGGCAAGATTTGATGAAACGAATGTATGTCAAAGCCTTAATTTTCTCTATTTATTATATATTTAAAGAGACACAGAAAATATTAAACTTATATCTAAGAAATAAACAGATGTTGACATAAAACAAGAAACCTATTAACATGGCAACATGAATTCAAAATGTTAGTTATTTATTTATCTACATTCTATTAGAAAAAAAATCTTATAGAAGCATGTTTGGTGAGTAATGACAGTGAAAGAGAAACTATTGGGTTGGAAACAAAATTCTCACACAACATTTTATATATATTTAATAAAAGTTGTGTGGAAAACTGTTTCAAACCCAATAAATAATTTTCACCATACCAAACACCCATATGCAATTATATTTGTTTTCAATTATAATGGAAATTCTTAGAATATAGCAAGATGATATGTGATGAGGCAAGGTAATGAATGTTTTAATCTCATACCTTTCTTCAACAAGATATTAAAATTAAAAATGCTTCTAGTAATACAGATGACAAAATCTTTTCAATGCTGTTTGCTAAAGTTCTACCAATTGAGGCTATTCTTACCTTTTACAACCAAACATAAAATATATTCTACAATTTAGTAAATTTATGAAGTATGGTGTTGGGTCTATTATAGTATTTCTTGGATCAATGAGAATTACTTAACAGTACTCATCTACTCTGCAAGTAAAATGTGACTGTGCATTGGGTTAATTAATACCAACAGTAGTAGCATAACCTCTTGACCTATTGGAAAAGGTAAATTCATACCTCAAGTATGAAGTGAAGACAAACTGCCTCAGCACAGGGAGACGTGGTTTCATGCCTTGTCCAAGAGCATTAATGCAAAGTACATGCAAACTACGTCAGTTGGAATTTGAATTCAGTTTACCAACTGTTTATTTTTATGCTGTTCATTGTTAATCCAACCTATTTGGCCACCCCACCTTATCAATGGTATATAGTTTAAACAAATATATTGGTTGGCACATCAAAAATTTCTATATGCAATTAATTGATCATCAATATTAAAAATTTGCTCAAAAATATGTTAAAGCAGAAGTATAAGAAAATATTTTTCAAAAATGTAAATGTTTGCATCAAGCTCTCTGTGACATTATGATAAATTTATTCAATTAAACATCTATTGTAAAAGGATTTTAGTTTTCACCTGATGAACTTATGTTTTTCTGGCTAGCTACATACAGAGTAAAGCACAAAAGATTAGAAATTTCTATTGGATACATAAAGGCTATTGAAAATTATATGTAACCAGTTCAGTAGAGTCATGTAAAAAGTATTACTATTTCTCTCTCTCTCTCTCTCTCTGTGCCCCTTTTGCTTTAACTAGAACTAATTCCCAATAAGAGAAGTCATATATATATATATATATATATATATATTTTTTTACAAAAGAGCAGTCACATATATTGAAGCATACTTATATAAAAAAGAAATATGCAAATATATATATATATATATATATATATATATATATATATATATATATATATATTATTTCCTTTTATAATATGTATAAGAGTACTCTTTATTTTAAATGCTTTCAAAAGAGCTTTTTAATAGCCAAAAATAACATTTATTGACCCATTAACAGTCTGTTTCATGCTTAATAATTTTTCAAATGGGTGTTTGTTTATTTTGAACACTCCTGAAATTAATTGTTCTTTTCCTTTTTTACAAAAACATAGAAATAACACCATGTCAAAATGTATATGGGAACTAAAAAAATGAAAGTGATAACACCGTTAGTAGAATGATATATAATTAACAAAAAGATAAAGTGACAGAAATTGCAATCTGTGCATGAAGCAGAAACTGCAAATTTAAGAAATGGAATAATTTAATAAACAAAAGAAATGAAATCTTTTTGAAATGCCGGTACACTAACTCATTCTCTTTGAAAAATGTGAAAAGTACAATTGATTTCAGGAGTATTAAAAATAAACAGGCACCCATTTTAAAAATCCCTAAGCATGAAACAGTCTGTTATTGCATGAATAAATATAAAATGTTGTTGCTGTTGTGTGTGTATACTTTGGTATTTGTCTTGCATCTAATAAGCATCTACACATATTCTTCCAAAAGAAGCTTTTGTTCAATTACATTTCTTCCAAAATCTTAGCAACAATTAATTTTACAACAAGCAAAATATCAATACCATATTCATTTCATAGGTAAATACAGGATTTGGTTTATTTCTCTATTTAATATGATTCCACAAATGCCCCATTCATTTGAACACGATTGGAGAACAGGTTAGCTGGAATGTTAAAATATTATAATAATAATAGTAAGGGATAAAGTTAAATCATTGAAAAGTAACAATAATTAAAGTCAAAATTTCAAACAAAAATTAATCCAGATTTTGTCAGTTCACTTATTTGGTATACAAAATGGGTGACATCAAATTTGAAGGTGAGTGTAACATGAAAACTTTAACAAAAAATAATTCAAGACAATAAAAAAAAAGTTCTTCTAAATTGTCAATTTATCTTTGATTCAAACTTGACATCTTGGAATGTAACATTATAAAATTTATTGTCTACATCAAAGATCAGCTAAAGAATGTTTGATTATTGTCCAAAGACAGAAGTAAATATTTGAATTCGTTTTTGGAAATAAATATCAGAGATTAAGCTCATCAAAAAAATTTTTTTTTAATTAATTAATAAAGAACAGAAGTAGAAAAAAAGGCAATAAATATTTAAGATCTTTTTGCTCATTAAACTCATGAAAACTTGTTTTTTGTTTTTAATTAATAAAAAACAAAAAGAAGGGGAAAAAAAGCAACAAATATTTAAAAAGATCTTTCTACCTATTAACCACATTCCTGCTTTTGTGAAATGAAACTTTAAAAACAAAATATTTTATTATTACGTTACCTGAAGATGAGTAATGCGAGCAATATTTTGTAAAAACAAAAACAAGATGGGGATAATAGTCGAAAGAAAAAAAAAATGTATATTAATGGTGCCTCATCAAATAAATACTGAACCATTCAAGGCATTTTTTCTTATTCACAGGTGTCCAGTAATGAGAAAAAAAAATCTTCCTCGAAATACAAATTTCAAAATGGAGTGTAAAGAAGGAACCAATTTTGATGCTTTAACCAACTGGCCTGAGGACAATTTGCAGGACAAGGCTCTCACCAACAAGTAGCGGTGAATTTTGCTGGCATAGATCACTGAGAGACACTTTCTTATCAATTTCTGTGTCGGTTGTGTATCGGGTCTTGGAGAAATTCTTCTTGCCACTTACAGAATGCAGTATCTTCTCCCTGTCCACGAGAGAGAGCAAGTACTCCACTGGTCGTGGCTGATCAAGAATGAGATTTGAATAAAGCACAGCTCGAAAATCATCACATGTAGATGAAAATCCCTTTGGATGCACCTTGAGCTCCCACTCCCAAGTCTGGGCAGGAAAAGTTGATGCCCGTGTTGAGAATCGAAAACTGACCTCAGCGCACTTCTGACAATCTGCATATCGCTGAATCACTAGCCGTTTGTCCCAGCGAAGGTCAGTGTAGTTACGCAACAAGAAACTAGAAGATGTGAATTCCTTGATCATGGCTCTGCTGGTCAGTGGGAGGGCAAGGTACTTGTAAGCCTGCATGAAATACGGTTGGAAAATGTCCGGCATTTCTTGCACGACTTTGTTGCTTTCAACCTGACAAAGTTGATCAGGTGTCATCATTGGAAAACGAATATGACAAATTAGGTCTTGGACATTCTTACGAAGATTCTCTGCTCGCTGTGGATGCTCTGGAGACAAAAGCCACTTCAAGACTGCTTCCCATAATTCATATTCATCCTTGACTGCCAGTTCTGAGCTCTTCAAGAACTCTATGAGCTGGTCCTTGTCAAGGTTAACCCATTCTTGTTCCCATTCGACTGACATCATGATGTCGTCCATTCTTTCAGCTAAAGCATGTACACAAGCATGGACCAGTTTTTGATGGTAGCATTTTGTGCCGTACTGGAACCAAATGTGGAAGACGTCTTTCAGTTGCAGTCGTGGGATAATGCAGGTGCAAGCAAAATTTATACAGACATTACGCAAGTCTTCCACATTGTATTTATCAGAGAGAATTAACATGGAAAGAGTATTGCCAATGTTCAGGCGTACATGGCAGCTGTAGAGGAACTTGAGAAAACGAGGAAAGACAGCAGCACACATATTATCTTCTTGAAGCTCAATCTCCTGGGAAGAAAAAAAGAAAAAGAAAAAAAAAATTACTTGTAAAATAATTTGGCCAATGTTCAAGTGTTATTGTCTGGAAAGTATCCTGCCATTTTGAACATCTCAAAAACTGGTTGAGTAGCCTTGATGCCAATTGTCAAGAAATAAGACTGAACCTTATATATGTGAAGGGACTCTTCTGTGAAGTTACTCAATTGGCAGTGAGATCTTATTGATTAAGCTTGTCTATCACATGACCAATGCAATCATAATGTTCAAGTAAGTAGATCAGTAAAATTTAATGCAGGGTTTTTACAAAAATATAGCATCATCCAATACCTGTAAGCTCCCCAACCCTTCAGTCCTGATTTGACTCCTTGTAACTTTTGGTTATTGTCAATGAAAAAAAAAAAAAAAAAAAAGATTTCAGGTTGGAGGTGAAATTAAGGAGAAAAAAAGGCAGCTGATGGTTGTCTGGTAAAAGGAATTTGTTTTGAAAGTGAACAAGATACTGTGTGAGATCTCATGGAGAGTACTTTAAAGGGAGCTAAAGAGTCATTTTCCTAGGTAGGCTAATTTTTTGTTAATACATTTAATATTAACATTGGATCATTTTCAGACAGATTACATATGATGGGGAATGACATTTTTAAAGCGTGAATTTTATGTGTATGTCAATCCATAAAGATTTGTTTAGTAATATTTTTAAGCTTTGATCAACTCTCTTTAATTAATCTTCTATATTTTATATCATACTTATTATAAAACCTAGGTTGTGTGTGTGTGTGTGTGTGTACGTTTATATATTGGATCGGATTTCCTACATTTTTCAACAGATTTCAACAAAACTTCATAGGACTACGTAAAATTACCTTGCGGTGGTTCTGACAGCACCAAAAATTGGAAAAACACAATTGTTTTTGCACGAAATCAATTTGAAAACACTATTAAGAGGCATCGCTGAGAATGAAAGGGGGACAACTCATATCGATTTATACTTATTATAAAACCCAGGTTGTTTGTGTGTGTGTATGTGTTCCTTTATATATGGGATCAGATTTCCTACATTTTTCAACCAATTTCAACAAAACTTCACTTTTTTTTTTTTGGTAGTGTTTCTTATTGTCTTGCACACTTTTTTTCTTTATTTTTACATTCAGAATGCTTTAAAAATTCCATTTACAAGACAATTGTTTATAATAAAATTCTATTCAATCGGTAGACTCATAACGATTGAAAACAATGTTTTTTGTTTGAGTTTGACCAATTTGTAAAAAAAAAAAAAAAAAAAAAAAAACTAATTAAGACATGCGTGTCCGTCAACCTTAAACAATAATCTTTGTCAATTTTATTTTTCAGTCTTTATGATGGTCGATACTTGATCTATCTCTTACTGTTACATCCCCGGCAACGCCGGGCTCTACTGCTAGTATATATAAAAAAAATATATCAAGTCATCCCAAAATATCTGATATCTTATAGTGTAAAGAATAACTCAAGATATTTTTAATATTCTGAAATACCTAATGGATAAAATTTGCAAAAAAATCATAAAGTTTTTAAAATACTTTTCATTGTAATTAAACTGGATCATATTAACTTGAAACACAAAAATGGATGTGTTATATGGAACATATAAAACATGTAATGTTTTGAATTTTGAAAATTTGTCAGTAATGCCAAAAGCAAACCTGAAATATTAATGATGTTTATAGGATATTTTTTGTTTAAATAAAAGAAAATTTTGAATCCTGATTTGTAAAAAATAGAAATGAAACTTTTCATTCAAAAGCATGATGCATTTTGAACAGCAAATTTGAAATGTTGAATTAGAAAAAAAACAGAAATTTTTGAACTCAATAGAAATAAAACATTTATTTTAAAGAATTAACTTGAGCAATAGTATCAAATTTACTTTTTGTTCAGCATCCAACATTTTTTTTTAGCATTTCATTTTCAAAAAAAATGCCAATGAATGGACAAGAGGTTAAAAAGATTTGAAAAGAGAATTTAATATTTTTTATGAAGAAAAGTGAAACAAAAATACAATAAAATAATTAATGATCAGGAAGACATAAGATGATATTCTTGACATTTCATTTAAATTTTTTGAAGATCATATTAAAAAGGAAAATCAATAAACCAGAAGGGAAAATCCAAAGGTTTTTTAAAGAAAAAAAAAAAAAAGAATATAAGAGATATTAATGCATCTAACTAAAGAACAGTAATAAAGGGATATTTGGCTTCAATATTTTAATTAGTTAATTGTAATTTGATTATATATAATATTTAAGTAAAAAGAAGGTTTATTTATATTACTATCAATTTTTTTTCAAATTAATCCCAATCAGAGCTAAACATTTTCAAATACATTTAGAAAGCTTTTAATTATGAGTTTTTGTTACTTTTAAGTATTTTTTTTAAAACCACCAATGTAATGTCACTCAGACGTTGATTATTAAAATATTTAGCCAGGCTAACAAGAGCATGACGCTCATTACCAAAGCAGTCAATTCCTGAAGAACTTTCTAAGGCAGGATAAAACTGAAAATTTCTGGATGGGGGTCAGCACATCCAACCATTTTTTAAAATTGTCTGTACCAGGATTGATCTTTTTTAGATTCATTGTCAATTTTTTTTGTCATTTCATATTTGAATGGTTAAAGCTTTCCAGCTCAACATTCATCAAAAAAGTAATGGATTATTGAAAAACATGTCAATAAATATGGCAAAAAAAAAATAAAATTTTATGAAATTAAGACAATTTTAAACAAATACAATGTCAAGCAATTTTTAAAAATGACAGTTATTCTTCCTTCAAGTTAAAGTTAAATGTTCAAAGATGAATATAAAGTATTAAATCTTATATATTTATAAATATTTTTAACCAATTTAAAAAAATCAATTCAGTTTGTTTGATAAAAAAATTTAAAAATTTGTTTTTCATTATACCTGCTGAATTTTTGTAATCTAAATAGAAGTTAAAAATGGGGCCATTTAAAAAATAAAATAACATTAACCACAAATTAAATACAAGAAAAATTTTCAAAAGCCAGAAAAAATTTTTTTTCAACTAATGAAAAAAAATTATTCAGAAAATTCACACCTGTGTGAAATTTGAAACATTTTGAGATTCCCTTACAGATATAAAAAATACAAACATACAACTTCCTATTATTTAAAATAAAATTGGAGTTCTTTTTGATCTTCTACATGTGTGTGTATATATATATATATATATATATATATATATATATATATATATATATATACACATATTCAATGGAAATTATGTCAATAGCAGATTGATTAAGACTGTCTATTTAAACATTAGGCTGAATGTCATAAAGTAAGTCTTTTTTTATCTTATACCAAAAAAGAACATTAATTATTGATAAAACAAACTTCATTCCAAGGAAAATTTTTTTTATTGTTATTTTATATTTCTTTTAAAAAAAATATATAAATATTATTTCAATTTAATGATGTCCTTTTTCTTTTGTGTTTTAAAAACCTGATGAATTCTTTTTAAAATTTTCATTTAAAATATATGTAATCTTTAATATAAAATGTTAGAGAATCCTGACACAATATAAATTTTTTTTCAATTTTAAATTAAACCTGGGTAGATGGGTCCCAATTATTCAATTTTACAATGTTTGTTTATAAAAATTTTAAGGAGGAATTTCCATCTGACAGCTTTTGGTCATTAAATTTTGCATTTATGAAATGATTACTATGAATACATCCAAGAATAAATAATCAATTTTTTTTTTTTTCAAGGGTCATTCATTTGAAAATTATTTTTCTTAATCCTTACTCTTATTTTTTTCACACATGTCATTCATTAATCCTGTATCTTGAAATGGCTCTTGATATAAATTCGTCCTAAATATAAATATAATTAAATTTGAATGAGATAATTTGTCCCCAAAATTGAAAAAATCAACACATAAATCAGGAAAAAAAAAAAGAAATGGGACAAAGGCAGGCATTGATTATTTTTTATTCTAATTATTGATGATTTTTTCTGGAGATGCCAGAGCCTTCTTTTTAAAAATCATTGAGTTTTTCTCCTCTCCAATTAAAAGTTAATTATTTTTTAAAATGTTTTTTTTTTTTTTAATTGTATGGATGGTCAGCAGCTGTTTCCCCAGATTTTAAACAATTTGTTATTTTTTTTGAATTGGAAGACTTCTTTTTTATAAAATTAAATGGACATTATTTTCAAAAAAATAAGGTGTTTAATAAAAAATTCTCATTATTCTATCATAGTTATAATAATAAATAAGTTAAAAATATATTTATAGTTCATTTAAATTCATCAAAATAATTTTGCTAAATCAAAAAAAAAATAAATGAGTTCAAATAACTGGAGATATAGTTTCTAAGACAATGGTTTTAGGTCATCAATGGAATATTTTGTCCCATATTAACATTTTCAAATCTATGATTTTTTTATGTTTTTAAATTTTTAATTTTTATAAATTTGCCAAATATAGATTAAATAGTGATGTATATCTTAATCGCATCTCAATGAGTTGATTTTAATGTTTTTTGCTTTTGAAAAAAATTTCATTTTTTATTTTGAGAACTTTGAATTAAATGTGATGCTGTTTTATTGGAAATGAATGGAGTCTTTTATGGCCTTGAATGATGCCATTATAAATGGAGCTATTACATATCTGTTTCTATTCTTTTGTAAATAAAAATGAATATAACAATCATTATATATTTATATAAAAATTTATATATATAAATATTATTTTTATAAAAATATATATAGAAAAATCCATAAGTAAAATAATATATTTCTTTTTATTTTTAAATTGGAAAATGGTGATTTTAGGAAAAAAGTGCCCCATATCTTAGCAGCAATACATATCAAATTAAAATGGTTCTATTAATGAGCATTGCTATTAAATACACATAAATTCATAAATATAGAATAAAACATTCTTTCTTTTTTTTTTAAAAAAGCAAAAAAATCAATATTG